AGGTATATACTAGTACAATGGCAGGATAAAGAATGAGCAGTGGAATATATATACATATGTATTTCACAGTATACATACAAACCCGTGTATGCATGTGCTGTAAAATAGCAAACTTGCTGTGTCTGTCTGTGGTTTAACCCATATCTTGTCAATGCCTTGGATTGTGGAAAATAGAAGCAACCCCATGATGGGAAGGAAGTATTTCCTCCTCTCACTTATGCCCTCTTGTATGTATCTGATTACTTCCATACCTTCATCCTCTTCTATGTTTACTGGGTTCTAGGCTCTGTAATTATGTTCACTTTGTCCATCTAAGCCAGCTACTTCTCTTGCAGATTCTCCATTATGCCACAGTATAATATTATCTATTTGGAACTTGACCCAGTATTAAGTACTGTTGTCTTTAGAATGATGAACAGAGAGGATTGTCCTTTTATTAAAATATTGTTCCATTCCATGATAATGGCAGTTAGTATGTTTTCACATATAAACATATCACAATCACCCTCCCTTTGCTCTAGAGCAGAGACAGTCTTTGGAAAACAACCTTGACCAATAGGTTTAGTCCTATTAGAGTTCCTGCCTTCATTCATTCATTAAACTAATACAACTCCCTCTGTCACAAGAACAACCAGCGCTGAGCCCTCAATGTCCCCTGCACTACTTCAGTGTCATTGTTCTTCTAAGTTCTCAGTGCTGTCTCATGGGGTTTCCTCCCTTCTATCCTCCTCTCAGCTCTGGTCTGCTCTCTGGTTGACCCTGGTGCTTGGCTCAGGTAGATGTGTTACCATTAAGCTGTTCAGTGTTCAATCAACAAGAATATATTATGAGATGACTGTACTCCTGTCACTGTGCCAGGCATTCAAAAGAAATATAAATGTGGCCTCTGCCCTTAAAGTGCTTCCATCTAATTCATGAAAAATGGTTAACATACCTGAAGATGATAGAGCTTAACTGGAGTTAGAGGGCAGGGCCTGTTACGTCCATGAGGGCAAGAGTCATGTCCATTGCATTCTTTCTGAATCCTTAGAACCTAATCTTCTGCCTGACATGGAGTGGATGTTCAGTGAAAATTTGTTGGTAGAATGAATGAATGAATGCTAGCATATTAGAATGGCATCATGGAAGAAGCAAAACTCAAAACAGGTGTTGAAGGATGGCAAGAAGTAGGGATTGATGTAGACAAAAAGGAGCAAGAGCACATTATTAATGGAAATTACAGTTGCGCATCACTTGATGACTGGATATGTTCTGAGGATTTGTTGTTAGATGGTTTTTTTGTGCAAACATCGTAGAGCACACTTACTTAGACAAACCTGAATAGTATAGCTTACTACATACCTAGACTATATGGTATAGCCTATTGTTCCTAGACGATAAGCCTGTACTGCGTGTTACTGTACTGAATACTATAGGCAGTTGTTACACACTCATAAGTATGTGTGTATCTAACCATGGAAAAGGTACAGTAAAAATATAGTATAAAAGATTTTTTAAAAGGTACACCTGTATAGGGTACTTCCTGTGAGTGGAGCTTACAGGAAGTGGCTCTGGGTGAATCAGTGAGTGAGTGTGAAGGCCTAGGACACTTTATAAGCACTGTACACCAAGGCTACGCTAGATTTTTAAAATTTCTTCAGTAGCTAACCTTAGCTTACCGAAGCTTTTTATTTAATAAACATACTTTTTTTAACTTTTTGACTTTTTTGTAATAACATTTGACTTAACATATAACATACATTATATGACTGTATAAAAAATGTTTTCTTTAAATCTTCTTTCTGTCAGCTTTTTCTGCTTTAAAATTACTATTATTACTTTTTAAACTTGTTTTGCTAAAAACTAAGACACAATTACACACATTAGCCTATCCCTGTTAGGGTCACGAGTGTTATTGCCTTCCATCTCCACATCTTGTCCCACTGGAAGGTTTTGAGGTGCAGTAATACGCAGGGAGCTGTCATCTCCCAAGATAATGATGCCTTCTTCTAGGTACCTCCTGAAGGACCTGTCTCAGGCCATTTTATGGTTAACTTTTTTTTTCAGTAAGTGGGAGGAGTATAATTCTAAAATAATAATTTAAAGTTTAGTGCAGTAAATACTAGATGATATGGATTTTTCAGCTTTATTATAATATTGTAAGACCACTATCATGTATGCAGTCCATCATCAACTGAAACTTCGTATGCAATGCATGGCCATACAGCGAACTCGGAATGAGGAGTTGTACCTGATTGGAACACACTTTACATGTATTGATAAGTGTTGGAAAATAAGTCTCTCTCCTTAGGTAGAATGAAAAGAGTTCCGCCCTGTTAAATAATATAAAAAAGAATCATGAATGGTTTTTGTAGGTGAATGAGAAAGTGACAAGGGAAAGGCAGTGTTTACATGGTCAGGATTATGGGAGAGAAGCTGGAGTAAGGAAGCTCGCAAGAAAATGGCAGTGCAGGCATAAGCAGTGAGAAGGAGAGTTTGGAAGGGGGCAGTGAGAAAGCAGAAAGAGACAAATATGAGATTCCCCTGCCCCGCTCCAAGATGAATTCTTGCTTTGCTGCCCAGACTAGAGTGCAGTGGCATGATCTCAGCTCACTGCAACCTCCCCCTTGCAGATTTGAGTGATTCTCCCACCTCAGCCTCCTAAGTAGCTGGGATTACAGGCATGCCACTGTACCCAGCTAATTTTTTTTTATATTTTTAGTAGAGATGACATTTCACCATATAGGCCAGGCTGGTCTCGAACTCCTGACCTTCAAGTGATCTGCCTGCCTTGGCCTTCTAAAATGCTGGGGTTACAGGCATGCCACTGCACCCAGCTAATTTTTTTTTATATTTTTAGTAGAGATGACATTTCACCATATGGGCCAGGCTGGTCTCGAACTCCTGACCTTCAAGTGATCTGCCTGCCTTGGCCTTCTAAAATGCTGGGGTTACAGGTGTGAGCCACTGCGCCCGGCTGATATGAGATATTTTGATAGAAATATGACATAATCTCATAACTGGGGAAGGATGAATCCATCATAACCACAAAGTACCTAGCAATCTAGCAATCTCATCCAAAGTTGAGAAGGAGAGATTGTTTGGGAAAGGACAGAAGTGGTTTTGGATAAGTTAACATAGGGATGATAGTGACCTCCAGTTGCTATCCGAATAGGGATTTATGTCTTCAGAAGGGTAGAGAAGGTACATTAGAAATGTAGACTTGAGCATTGTCAACGCAGGGGTTGTCAAGGAGTCATGTAGTTCTGCAGTGATGGCTATTAATTTCTCCCATAATGTGCTAGTTAGGATCCATTTTCACAACACTGATGCAGATTGAGTATCTCTTATTTGAAATGCTTGGGTTCAGAAGTATTTCTGAATCTGGATTTTTTCAGATTTTGGAAAATTTGCACTATATTTTACCACCAATTGACTATCCCTAACCCAAAAATGTGAAATTCAAAATGCTGCAATAAGCAATTTCTTTAAGTGTCAGGTTGGTGCTCAAAAAGTTTCAGGTTTTAGAGCATCGCAGATTTTGGATTTTCAGATCAGGGATACTCAGCCTGTAATGATAGCAATGATAGCATGTAACAGATAATAGCATCAGCAGCAGCTGAGTTGTCTTTGCAGTGTTGGTGTCCCATTGAGATTTAGAGTCACACTGAATGTTTAGGTTAGTGATACTCTTAGGAAGTGGGAGGTTTGGGGTTTTCAGAGACATATTGCAAATCACTGGGTGTTTGAGTGAGCTTGGAAGATTTCCACGTTGACTATCCCTGTACCTCCAGAGCTCTGCTATAGCTGAGACAGGCTTCCCATGTGTTGAGTTACCTTTGCCTTTCATGTGAGGTACAGATGTACCACTATACTTCCTCATTAGGCAAAGTAATAAATACTTACCTTTTTTTTTTTTTTTTTTTTTGAGGCGGCATCGGCATCTCACCCTGTCACCCAGGCTGGCGTGCAATGGCGTGATCTTGGCTCACTGCAACTTCTGCCTCACAGGTTCAAGCAGTTCTCCTGCCTCAGCCTCCTGAGTAGCTGGGATTACAGGCTCCTGCCACCATGCTCAGCTAATTTTTGTATTTTAGTAGATGGGGTTTCACCATGTTGACCAGGCTGGTCTCGAACTCCTCATGATCCACCCACCTCGGCCTCCCAACATGCTAAGATTACAGGCATGAGCCACCACGCCTGGCCATAAGTACTTAACATTTAAACATATGTTGCATCATATACCACAATCTCAGATACGAGTAGATGATGTTCATAAATTCTTTCTTAAACAAAAATTATAATTGTGTTTCCGCTGTGGTATAAACTCTCAATTCCCATCAGATAGTTATCTGGATCGGGCATGGTGGCTCATGCCTATAATCCCAGCACTTGGGGAGGCTGAGGCAGGAGGATTGCTTGAAGCCAAGAGTTCAAAACAAGCCTAGGCAACAGAGCAAGACCCTGTCTTTACCAAAAAAAAAAAAAAAAATGCCAGGCACCAAGGTTTTTGCCCTTGGAAGGCTGAGACAGGAAGATCTCTTGAGCCCCAACTACAGTGAACTATGATTGTGCCACTGTACTCCAACCTAGGCAATACAATGAGACCTCATCACTTAAAAAATAAAAATAAAAGACAGTTGTCCTTTACGATAGCTTTAATCTGAAATTCTTTCTGTCTAACTCGGTCAGGGTAGGAGTGATATTTTCCCCTTGAGTGACAGTTTCTTTTTGCAACATTGTCTCAGCCTATAATCCAGTCTGATATTTTAAAAGAAATTTTCTCTCTTGTAAGAAAATCATGAAGATCACCTTTCAATGATTTGCAAAGGGAAATTAATGTAATCCTGTGAAAAGTTCAAAGGGCTCTACATTATGTGTGGGATGAATGCATGAAGTCTTTGGTGCCATGCCAGATTACTGTTTAAATTATAACTATCTTGAAAAGAGCAATACAGTTGCAAAGAGTAATACAGAAGCAAACTTGCATTTGGATTTCTTCTCCTCTGCTGTCTCTCTAGGCTTCTTCCATCGAGACTTAAAACCTGAGAACCTCCTCTGCATGGGACCAGAACTCGTGAAAATTGCAGACTTTGGTTTGGCCCGAGAAATCCGATCAAAACCTCCATATACAGATTATGTATCTACCAGATGGTGAATACTGCTTTTCTCAGAATTATTTATTTGCACTTCTTTAAAAAGATACCATTAAGCCAAGGATAATATTAAAGCCACAAACATTAACTTTTCACTAAGGAACAGTGCAGTCTGAAACATATTTATAGATATGTTGGTAGTGTACAAGGTTAAAATTTTGTGTTATAAATCACATTAAAAGAAAACCTATTACGCTTTTCTATAATGTAAATAAAATTTTATATATAGGCCTTCCTGAGGACAGTTTCCCAAAAGAACTATGTAAAATATTCTCCGAAGACCTGTGTGTAAACCATCCAATTGCTATTGTGAAAACTTTGAGACACTAGGAATTTGATTTTAAGCAGTTTGCCGTGACCAAGTAGCCTACACACAAGTTGTAGGTTTTTTCTCCCTCTCCCTTTCTCTCTTAGTTTTTCCTTCCTCTTTTTCTTTTCTCTCTTTTTTCCTAATTCTTACTTTCTCTGTTTCTCAAAGATGCCATACAGAAGACTCCTTAGAGAAATGGTCAATAGAAAATATTGGCCGGGCGTGGTGGCTCACGCCTGTAATCCCAGCACTTTGGGAGGCCAAGGCGGGTGGATCACGAGGTCAAGAGATCGAGACCATCCTGGTCAACATGGTGAAACCCCGTCTCTACTAAAGATACAAAAAATTAGCCGGGCATGGTGGCGCGTACCTGTAATCCCAGCTACTCGAGAGGCTGAGGCAGGAGAATTGCCTGAACCCAGGAGGCGGAGGTTGCGGTGAGCCGAGATCAGGCCATTGCACTCCAGCCTGGGTAACAAGAGGAAAACTCCGTCTCAGAAAAAAAAAAAAAAAAAAAAAAGAAAATATTGTGAACTAGAGAGATGCACTACTTGTCAACAGCAGCCCACGGCAGTTGTGAGGTTCTCCAAATTCCATTACACCACAGTGAACTAGAGAAAAAATAGAAACATATCCACCCCCTCACTGAGAACTGATTGTCATTTAATTTAATGTCTGAGCAGTGGAAGCAATAGCTAGCAGTTCACCTTTGTTCCTCCAGGTACAGGGCTCCAGAAGTACTCCTGAGGTCTACCAACTACAGCTCCCCCATTGACGTCTGGGCTGTGGGCTGCATCATGGCTGAGGTGTACACCCTCAGGCCACTCTTCCCTGGGGCCAGTGAAATTGACATGATATTCAAAATTTGCCAAGTGCTGGGGACACCAAAAAAGGTAATGATACAGAACAAAGGCCAGTGGGCCAAAGCCAACAGCTTCCCATTCTCCCCCTGCCCAGCCCTGTTCAGCACTGGCACCATTGGGCACCTGCCCATTCTAGACTCTTTGTCTTGACCTCAGTCATTCTCCACTGCCCACATTCTCAGACACATTTGGCTTCTCTTCTTCCTCCTATTCTTAAGTATGACATCTGTCATGGCTACTTCTGCCTTCCTCTCTATATCATCTCACCTCCCTTGCAGAACTACTTGGTTCTCATCGCTACAATTCATGCTTGTTCAGACGTCTCTTGACCATAATCCTTAGCCCCTGACTCCCTACATTATTACTCCACTTACATGTTTACAGTTCTCTATGGGATTTTCTCCTGACTCCCTCACCATCACCTCAAACTCATCATGTCTGAAACATTGCCTTTTGTTTACCATCCTGCTAGCTTCCTCCTTTCGTTCACCATTTCTGTTTATGGTCTGATCATCATTCCAGAGCCCCCACCTTGAGGCTGAATTTCAGCTTGACCTTCTGTCTTTCTCTTACTCCCCTTTTCCTTGATCCAAGCAGTTGGTGGGTAAATGCTGTTGAATATTGCCACGTTACATGTCTCACATAGCTCCCGTCCTTTCAAGTCCACTGCTGCCATCACAGACTGAACCACGGTCACCTACCTGTGTCTAATGGTATCTTCTCCATCTTTCTGCTTTCGAGTATTTTCACCCTGGCTTTTTGTTCAGCCTGTGGCCAGATTCAACCTCCTAAAGGACAGCTCTGGTACCGTCTTCCCCTTATAAAAGTATTGGTTGACTCCCCATTGCCCAGCCTCGTAACTCCTATTCCTATCCCATACTTCATACCTGTACACCTAACAGCTGCGTGCCCTGGAATTTCCCTGCTTCTGTGCTCTGTACATACACCCTCTGCCTGAGTGATGTCTGTCACATGGCCATCAGTAATCCTCTTCCTCATGTTTCTCTAATCTCCTCCCCATCTTCGGCTGTGTTCTGTCTTATTAATATAATTATTTGTGTTAATAGTGGTTTCCTGGACCATACGCTCATTCAGGACAAAGATTTGCTGTATGTTTATTTTCCCAGGTCCCAGGACCATTGCTGGTACAAACTAGATCCTCAAAAATTGTTTTAAATCAATTGAATGAATTACTAATGCCACTTCTTTAAGAAAGATTCCTAAGTCCACTGCTGGAAGGAATCTTTCTCCTCTGCATATCTGTACCTGTACCTCTCTTGCAGCTTTTGTCACTTTTTACTCTGCATTATTACTCTGTTTTTAATTAAATGTCCTCTTTTCTCTTTCAAGAACAATAATACCTTTAAGGGCAGGATTTATATTGGATCTCCAACAACACTAAGCATATAAGAGGCATTCCAGAACTATCAAGTGAATGAATGATAAAAGCTATACATATTGCCACCTGGCTTTAAAAAAGAGTGGGGGAAGGCTGGGCATGGTGGCTTACGCCTGTAATCCCAGCTACTCGGGAGGCTGAGGCGGGAGAATTGCCTGAACCCAGGAGGTGGAGGTTGCGGTGAGCTGAGATCACGCCATTGCACTCCAGCCTGGGTAACAAGAGCGAAACTCCGTCTCAAAAAAAAAAAAGAGTGGGGGAAAAATTACCTTAGCCTGTATGTTATAAAATAGTAGTGTTAGAACTCAAAGGAATGGTAAAGACCATTTCTTTCTCATTTTTCATCGTTCACTCCAGCATTTAGCGTCCCACAGAAATGATGCATGAAAAAGTGGGAAGTTTGACACTTTTGAGACTGGGTGAAGCACCTTTCCTTACTGCCGGTCTTCTCCACATGCATACTTTGAATCATCAAGTTAAAGATATTATAAGTAGAGTCTCACAAATTTATTTGCCCAGGAACAGGATGTTTTGTTTTATTTTGTTTTCCCCCAAAGAATGTCTCATTGGCAGTTTCCAGAACCTCTTATCTCATGGAACACCGTTGGGGAAATATTAATTGGTTCAATCCCAAAATCTGAAGAGATGGGCTGTCTTACATAAAGATTATAAAACAAGTTGGCAAATCTGATATCTTTTCCACTCCTCCCCAGATCTCATGGTTTTGGTAATCTTTCTATTTATACAACTCTATTTCTCATTCCACACAGTGCCATGGTAGTGAATGTGGGTGGTTAACGAATGTGAGTGGGTAATGACATGGTTGCCTTTCCATTTGGGACACACACATCAGAATACAAACTTATATCACAGCAATTGGCTGAGCAAGGTTTTCTATCTTTTCCTTCTTTCAGATGGACTGGCCTGAAGGCTACCAACTTTCAAGTGCAATGAACTTCCGCTGGCCACAGTGTGTACCTGATAACTTAAAGACCTTGATTCCCAATGCTAGCAGTGAAGCAATCCAGCTCCTGAGAGACATGCTTCAGTGGGATCCCAAGAAACGACCAACAGCTAGTCAGGTTTTCCTCCATTTTCTTCTGTTTGATGTGCTTCTTATGAAGTTCATATCTAACTCTGAATAATTTCTTTAAATTGCGTAGGAAATATTTAGTATTATGGGTGAGAAATAGTACAGAATACCACTAATGGTGTACTACGTAAGGTATGAGAACTTAAAATAGTCTGAAACTTACCGGGTATAAAGTAATTAAGATGTAAACAATATAGTTGCTTTGAAAATTGGCATATAATTCACATGATACATCATCATTTGTATGGAAATGGAAATAAACATATATTTTTTCTGTCTTTGGAGAATGTTTTTAAATCTCTTCTCTATGAGTTACAATTATATAGTAGTTTGTTTATAAGCCGGTACTGGTTGTTAAAAGGCAACTTCATATCATGTAAAGTCCAACTGACTCATGACCTAAAGAGATTGACAGATGAGGTAGAGCTAGGAGAGTAACGGCACTTAGCATTTCATAGCACTTTACAGTGTGCAAATGCTTGAGTATGTTTTATATGATTTTTAACCCAATGAAGATTCCATGATACAGGCATTATTGTTTTCAGTTCTGTGAGTGAGAAAACTCAATCTCAGGAAGTTTAAGCAATTTGCTTTAATCACTCATCCACTAATTAGTTCAAGTAGTGCAACTATCTACAATTCAACCAACTGACCCGAAGTATGAAGTCAGGTTCTCTGACTTCATAGCTCCTGCTTTCCCAACCACTTAGACTTAAATAATGAAATATACCCAAAAGAGGTGTGGTAATGCTGTGGGCTCTTATCACTCACAGGCCTCTTGCAAGCCTGCTATTGTGGTAGTTATGTCTGGCCCCTTCTCAACTTGTCTCATTGACAGTTACATTGCTCAGAGGATCAAATAAGTGACCAATTCTCATCAGAGAAGATGATTCAGAAGAAGAGGAGTGATGAGGATATTTGAAGAAAGTGCCAACATGGTGGTAGAATTTGTGATAGCAGGGGAGATGATAGTTGGAGGAATAGTTAAGGAGTGTAGAAAAGCAATTTTTCAAAAGCTCAGGGAAGAAATAACCACAATTTGGTGTCATACGACTTTGGATGGCTCAAGGGTTGGAAGGCTCTCAGAAATGCGCTCCTGGTGGTGAAATTCACAAATCGCTGCAGGGCAGGAAAGCAGCTTTTCGATGAACGCAATTTTTTAAAGGATGCGTATAAGAAATGAGAAGAAAAAGATTCTGTAACCAGGAACCAAGAGAATGTATGCTTTTAAGAATAGTGTGAAAAGCTAAAAATACCCCCCAAATCAGTTAAGACTTGCAAAAATGTCTGCAACTACAGAGAAGGCTTTCAAATTATAATAGATGCTAATGTCTGGGACCTCTACCAGGTTATCCCCATTAATTGCCTCTGTATCTACACTTGCATAGAATCATCACAGATGTTTATAACTGTCCCAGGCTTGCTAAGAAATATTATGCTATCCTTAATGACTTGCATTCAAAAAGACAAGAGAATACAGGGAATATTTCAGAAAGAATTGTCAACCCCAAACCTTAAGTTATCTCTTGGCTATATAGAAAACTCAGTTACCTAGAACAACTGACGGTTTCGTTCTTGATGGAGAAGGTTTAACCAAATCATGTTTTACACTTCTGGCACTTTTGGAATAAATGCATATGTGCCTGCTTATTTTGTACTCAAATCTTCCAGGATCATTATGTTTGGCTCTTTCAGTTTTTTATTATTTTTTCTCCTTCTTCTGTGGAATGAGGAAATAGGCTTAGAATGATGAAGTACCCTATTTAAGACACATAGCAAATAAGTTACAAAACCAGGATCTATGTTGATCCAGAATCTCTTTAGAAGTAGCAGGGTAGCAGCAGTGTCACTGGCTACTATATAGAAATGATTTTGTGTTGCAATCATTACATAAATTTTATGGTATCTTAGATAAGAAAAATCACAAGGGGTGTTACGAATTCAAGATGCTGTTTTCTAGTTGGGCTAAGAAACAGTAGTAAACTGGTCACAATGAAATATAGCCCAGTAATCAAGATAGTAGTAACTTTCCTGGCTAGACTTTTCTCCTAAAGCCTTATTTGTCATTCCAGGCACTTCGATATCCTTACTTCCAGGTTGGACACCCACTAGGCAGCACCACACAGAACCCTCAGGATTCAGGAAAACCACAGAAAGGCATCCTGGAAAAGGCAGGCCCACCTCCTGATATTAAGCCAGTCCCTCCTGCCCAGCCGCCAACCAAACCACACACACGAATTTCTTCACGACAACATCAAGCCACCCAGCCCTTTCTGCATCTCACGTACCCCTACAAAGCAGAGGTCTCCAGGACAGATCACCTGAGCCATCTCCAGGAGGACAAGCCAAGCCCGTTGCTTTTCCCATCCCTCCACAACAAGAATCCCCAGTCGGTGAGCAGCCCAGATTCACCAGTGAGCTTTGTGTCTGCTTATTTCTCTTCTGACCCCACTTATCGTGTGACATATTTTCTCTTTCGGTATACAGAGTCTAATCGCAGTAGACTTATGTTGCAACAGCATGGAATTATGAAAAGACCCGTGGCTTTGGAGTGAAAGATCTAAATTCAAGTTCTGGCTGTGCCTGTTAATAACATGGTCACTCAGGGGGACAGCTGTAGGGTAGTGGTTAGGAGCTGGCCTCTGCAGCCAGACTACCAGGGGTTCAAATCTCAGCTGTGCTGTTTAATAGCTTGATACCTGTGCAAGTTACCTGGCCTCTCTGTTCCTCATTTTCCTCATCTGTAAAGTAAGGATAATAATAGTACTTATCTGCTAAAGTTGGTTTCAGGACTAAGGAGTTAATATTTGAAAAGAATTTAGAATAATACCTGGCACCTAGTTACAACTCTGTAAAGGTTAGTAGTTGTTATCATTAATCCCTGTGGACTCAGTTTCTTCATCTGTAAAAGGAAGAGTATAGTGCACATCCTACCTACCAGACAGGGTTGTTCATGAAGATCAAAGGTCATATTTATAAGATGTTTTAAAAAGCATAAAAGCGCTGTATTAATATTTATAGTTTGTTATCCATATTATTGCCATTAATCAATACTGTTAATGCTGGGCTATTAACTGAGCCCAGATCCTTCTGCTTCTCTTGGGCTGGTTTTCAAAAGAAAACAATGAGTGTTAGATTTAATAAAATAACCTGACAAGGGGTCCTGTTTTTTACTAGCTTTGCAGTGCTGTCTGAAGAGGCCAACTTTCTATCACTTGTACGAAAAAGTGGCACTTTCTGTGTCAGTTCCTATTTGCTGAGTGCTGGCTCCCAGCCACCATGGTGTGAGACATTGCCAGATCAGGGCAGCATCTCTGGCCTGTTCACTTTATTCCAGCACACAATTTCGAAGTGGTGTGTGTATGGAAATGTCCTGTTGTAGCTAATTCTTTATAGCTAAGAGATAGTAACCATATCTACTGAGAAGGCAAAAAAAAGAAAAAGCGTTATCTGCATTGATTTATGTAAAAGGGCAGGCAAGCTGACATCTTAGCCTTAATTTCTTTCATCCATTTTTATAACAGTAGAAATCACATGAACTCATCTAGGATGAGACTGTGTGTGAACCTAGCCACCTTTCTGGTATGTGAGATGTATCTTAAACATTTTTTTATCCTTATTTTATACACCTTTAACGTCTTCAGTGGACGGCAGCTGATGCGATCCATGCAGGATGAGCGCGACAGAAAGATTGGGAATGTGTTTTCCACAATTGCCCCTCAGATCATCAATGTTATGCCCCATGAGCCTCCTTTGCATAGCAGAGGAAGTTTAGAATGGAGATTACTCATGGATGAGTTCCATTAATGCCAAGTATTGCTTCCCCCTCCCCACCCCACTTGTTTACACAGAAAATTGCAGCTGGCCTGGAACACAAAAATGGTGAGATAAAGCCAAAGAGTAGGAGAAGGTGGGGTCTTATTTCCAGGTCCGCAAAGGATTCAGATGATTGGGCTGACTTGGATGACTTGGATTTCAGTCCATCCCTCAGCAGGATCGACCTGAAAAACAAGAAAAGACAGAGTGATGACACTCTCTGCAGGCAAGTGTGTTGCTCACATTCATAAACGCAGCTGGGATTTGTAAGATTACTGGTACATATCTGAGGATATACGCTGTCTCTCATGCTGACCCAAGCCATGCTCTCTTCATTCAGGTTTGAGAGTGTTTTGGACCTGAAACCCTCTGAGCCCGTGAGCACAGGAAACAGTGCCCCCACTCAGACGTCATATCAGCAGCGAGACACACCCACCCTGAGATCTGCAGCCAAGCAGCACTATTTGAAGCACTCTCGATACTTGCCTGGTAATATAAATGACTTGGCTTTACGTTGACTTTTAATAAGAAATCCTGTCCTTGGAATCACATATCACTCACAAAGGTTCTGTTTTAGAAGGCAGATACTAGGGGATTACCTTCAGAACTGAGGGACACATCACAGAAGTATTTGCCCAAGCCTCACATTTTTTTTTTTTGAAACAGAGTCTCGCTTTGCTGCCCAGGCTGAGTGCAATGGTGGTACCTTGGCTCACTACAGTCTCTGCCTCCTGGGTTCAAGTGATTCTCCTGACTCAGCCTCCCGAGTAGCTGGGACTACAGGTACCCACCACCACAGCTAATTTTTGTATTTTTTACTCGAGATGGGGTTTCACCATGTTGGCCAGGCTGGTCTTGAACTCCTGACCTCAAGTGATCCACCCGCCTCAGCCTCCCCAAGTGCTGAATTACAGGCATGAGCCACTGTGCCTAGCCTCAGGCCTCATATTTTTATCTTTTATAGTCACCCAAGATATGAAATATGGTATAGGAAACTGGGTCCGGCCTCCAGGGAGGAAGGAACTGGCAAGAGCTGGGTGGCATATCTTTTTTTTTTTTTTTTTTTTTGAGACGGAGTTTCGCTCTTGTTACCCAGGCTGGAGTGCAATGGCCCAATCTCGGCTCACCGCAACCTCTGCCTCCTGGGTTCAAGCAATTCTCCTGCCTCAGCCTCCCGAGTAGCTGGGATTACAGGCACGCACTACCATGCCCAGCTAATTTTTTGTATTTTTAGTAGAGACAGGGTTTCACCATGTTGACCAGGATGGTCTCGATCTCTTGACCTCGTGATCCACCCACCTCGGCCTCCCAAAGTGCTGGGATTACAGGCTTGAGCCACCGCGCCCGGCCTGGGTGGCATATCTAAGGCCCCTCTACCAGACCAGGTTTAGGGGAAATTGCCAATAGGGAAACCAGGGCAGGAGCTTAGATACGCCATCCTGGCGGTAATACAGGGGTTAAATGTCAGTGCTATAGTTTGATGGGTTCCCAAACCTTTCTCTGGATTTTCTATATTCCAAACTTACAACATTAGTGAATCATTCATTCAATACGTATGTATAAAGCATCTACTGCATGCCAAGCGCTGGGAATATTATTGCAAACAAAATAGCTAAGCAGACCCACTAGGTCGCACAACTCTGGGAAATTCCTTCACGTTGTAGTCTACACAGTGGTTTTATACAGCAGCTTTGCAAACAACATCCTCATCCTCACACAGCTTACATGCTAGCGGTGGGAGAGAGACTTTAACAAATAGGCACACAGTAATCACAGATCGTAAAAGAATGGTCAGGTAGGGCCTCTCTAAACAAGTGACTTGGCTGGGCCCTAAAGAATCAGAAGGAACCCAATGTGCAGAGAGCTGAGGGCAGAGCACAGCAGGGAGAGGGGAACAGTGAGTGAAAGATCTGGAGCCAGGAGCAGGCTTGTCCTCTGAGAGGAATGGCAGAGACCAGTGTGGCCAGAGCACAGTGAGAAAGGAGGTGACGTAATATGTAGTACGAGGCATCTTTGGGGGCCTTGTAAGAAATTTGGATTTTACTTCATGAGCAATGAGAAGTCCTTGAAGGGTTTTAACTGAAGGAGTGATGTGGTTGTATCAACACCTCTGTGCTGAGTAGGGGAGGGGCCGGCAAGCTGTAGCTGTCAGCCAGGTGAGGGGGATGGCAGCACAGGCTGGGGTGCAGTCAGAAGGGAGGGATGGGGTGGGAATGACAGGCCCTCCTGATGCGTGAAATTCCTCACCGTCTGGGAATGTGGCGTCTAAATGCTGCTAAACTTCATCAGGATTGACATTTTGGTCTTAGAAGATTGGCCTGACAGGCCCCAGGATGATCCAGAAGAAGAAAGATCCAGATAACAGGTGTAGGGTGATGCAGTAGGCAGGGCCAAGCCTTGAATTACAGTGACCACAGGCAGAAAGGAGCAGGGAGTGAATCAGAGAGCTTTTTATTTCTTTTTGATTGTAGAGGAAGGAGGAGAAGGATAAAGGGGGAATTTAACCTTTGAGTTCTGAAAAATAGCTGCAGTGCCAGTGGGAATGGGAGTGATCTAGAGGAAAAGTGGCTTTTGTCCTGAGGTCAAGGTCAAGGCAGCCCATTCTGGGAGGCCCTGGGTGTGAGTTCCTTGGACAGACCAGAGTCATCAGCATGTGAGGGTAGTGATGGTCCTGGTTGGGCGAGACAATGGAACCCTGGGGACAAGACAGAATGAGGAAAGCAGAGAGCTGCAGAGTTGGAGGCTGGGGGTTTGGGATAGAGAAGAAATTGAAAAGGTGACTGAAAGGAAGTGGACTATGAAGGGGAAGAACAGAACATCCAGCAGCTGCAAAGCCCAGGATGGCATGAGAGGGTCACGATGTGGGACAGATCCACTGGTAGAAGCGGAAGAGGCCGCTCTTGGGCACCTAGAAGTGAGATGTCTTTCCTCTGACATCTGTCAGATGACATCATCACACTCAGTTTTTGCTTTGATTATTGCATCATAGAGTGTTTTTGACAAATCGCGTTCTGCATTAATTTCATCTTTGTAGTCTGGTGTAAGATTCAATGTGCATTTTGCATTTTAAAATCATTTCTTCTCTATTAGGGATAAATATAAGAAATGGCATACTCTCGAATCCAGGCAAGGACTTTATTCCACCTAATTCATGGTCTAGTTCTGGCTTGTCTGGAAAATCTTCAGGGACAGTGTCAGTAATCAGCAAAGTAAATTCAGGTGAGTAATGATCATTAATCCCCAAATTTGCAAAAAACAAATTCCCTGGATGCAGCAAGGTGGGCACGGGGAACCATGGGACGAGCTTTGGAAGCACAGGGGCCTTTGTGGTCTGAAAGCTCAGGCCTCTTTTCCAGCCCTATCCTCCTGTCTCTTTCTTATCTGTAGTCCCTGGGGACTCAGCCAGCTCCCATAGGAGTCTGCCTTCAAGGGTAGCTGGGGAGTAGAGCATAGTCTTCCTGGCTCCAGGGAAAAACAAAAATACCTTGACAGATTCCTACTAGGCCTGACGGCCGAGGCCCTGGCTGCAGCAGGCACCCTTGTACTGAGGTAGAAGTCACCCTTGGCTGTGTCTGCCTTGTTCCAGCCCATCCCCTCCTTCTGATGGCCCAACTGCAGACCCAGTATCAAGATCCCTTCTAGTTGGAAGGTGGACAGTTTGGAAGGCCCTCCCCACTCTTTTTGTTAAATGGATGAATGAATTTCCTGAGTCCTAATGCTGACCAACCCTGTTAACAGTAGAAGCGTTTCCCACATCAGTTTTCCCTCATGCAGGCAGCCCCTGCCATGTGCTTCTCCCCCTCTGCACTGCCAACTGGGCTTCACTTCTCCCTGCCCTCATTCACTAGGTGTTTGTTTATCGTAAGGAATACAAAAAAGAAAGAGATAATATAGCAATGCCTGTATAGCCACCACTCAGCTTAAGAAGTCAGACTTTGGCCAGGAAGGTGGCTCATGCCTGTAATCCCAACACTTTGGGAGGCTGAGGCAGGCAGATCACTTGAGGTCAGGAGTTCAAGACCAGCCTGGCCAACATGGCAAAACCCTGTCTCTACCTAAAATATAAAAATTAGCCAGGCGTGATGGCAACAGGCCTGTAATCCCAGCTACTCGGGAGTCTGAGTCGGGAGAATCACTTGAACCTGGGAGGTGGAGGTTGTAGTGAGCCGAGATTGTGCCACTGCACTCCAGCCTTGGTGATAGAGCAAGATTCTGTCTCAGAAAAAACAACAAAAAACAAACAAACAAAGTTAAACTTGGCAAATGCACATAAAGCCCAGTGTCTGTGCCTTTGCCTCCCATCCTCCCTGCTTCCCCTTACCTCCCTCCATGCCAACCTGATCAAGTTTTTATTTGGGTTCGTATACACTTCATAGTGTGGTTTTGCAGGTTTTAAAATTTATTTGAACATAATCTTGGATCACTGCTTCATGCATTTTAATAAATATGTGTGTAGCAATTATAGAGATATATATTATATAACATATATATATATATACAATACCATAACTTATTATTTATGTAGACTGTGACTTATGTATGCCTTCTCTTCTTGATGAACATATAAGTTTGTAATTTTTGCTACTAGAAAGAGAGCTGAGATGATTATTGTACCCTATTGTTATGCACAAGTGTCAGGGTTCCTCTGGGTATGATAAATAGGAGTCAACATTTTATTTTATTTATTTTAGACAAAGTGTTGCTCTGTTGCCCAGGCTGGAGTGCAGTGGCACAATCTCGGCTCGCTGCAACCTCTGCCTCCCAGGTTCAAGCAATTCTCTTGCTGCAGCCTCCCTAGTAGCTGGGATTACAGGCGTATGCTACCACACACAGATGGGTTTTTTGTTTATTTGTTTTTTGTTTTTGTATTTTTAGTAGAAACAGGGTTTCACCATGTTAGCCAGGCTGGTCTAGAACTCCTGACCTCAGGTGATCCATCCACCTCAGCCTCCCAGCATGCTGGGATTACAGGTGTGAGCCAGCAGAGTCAACATTTTAGGTTAAAGGGTGCTCATCTTCAACTTCACAGATACTGCCAAACTGCTCTCCAGCGGGATATGGGAGTTGCTCTGCATCCTTGATGCCACTTGGTACTGTCTGACAAGTGTGAAATGGTGTCCTCTTGTGGTTTAAACTTGCATGTCCTGTTTACTAATGGGGTTCATCATCTTTTCTTGTGTTTGCTGACTATAAGTCTTTTCTCTTTTGTGACTTACCTGTTCAAATTCTCTTCCCATTTTTCTTCATTCACCAAAGTGTGAAATGCACCCCCGCTGATCAAAACAACTCCTCACACAGGCATTCCAGTCTGTGTTTCCCACTCTGCCTCAAGCAGTTGCTGAAAAGCCTCTGTGTTGTGGAAACAGAGCAACTCTACCACTTATTGACTTTTCTTAATGGATAGAACTTCCATTTCTATGATGGGCAATAATGACAGTCTTCATTATTCCATGTGTGCCTTCAAGCCTTAATATTAAGAATTATAGACATTCATTCACCCATCCAGTATTAATTGATTACCTGCTATATGCAAGGCATTCAGTTATCCTCCCCAGAGTACAAAGATGAGTAGCATACAGTCCCTGCCCTTAAAGCTCTCCCAAGTGGAAAGGACATAAAAAGTGAATGTATTTAGTATTTTTTAAAACGGTTAATTTTTCCAATGTGGATAAGAACATTTAGTGTGTTATTTCTTGTCACAGCTAAATAATTGAATATAACCTGTGTGTCGACCTGTAAGAAAATGGTTAAATGGACTGTGGTTTAGCCATACTCTAGAATATAGATATACTGACATGGAAGGATAACTATTCTGTATTATGGAGTGAAGAAAGCAAATTTTAGAACAGTCTAAAGCTACTTTTACAAAAGAAAATAAAATATGTCACAGCCAACCAACCCTGTATTTGGTTGCCCCCTACAGGAGCAGCGCTGTCTTTGACCCTCTCAGTCTTTCTGACAGGGTCAGAAAAACTAGCCAGGCATGGTGGGACGCTCAGCTCAGAATTCATTTTTATCACGATTTGCTATTTTCCCTCAAAGTAAAAACTTAGTTTGTTATTGCTCTGCAGTGCTGTCATTTAACCTTTTGATGTCCTGGGTCCATGTCTTTGTAGTAAAAGAGCTTTTTGCTTTTGCAAATCAGTTGGTTCCAGCTCTACAAGTTCTAGTGGACTGACTGGAAACTATGTCCCTTCTTTTCTGAAAAAAGAAATTGGTTCTGCTATGCAGACGGTACACCTGGCACCTATTCCAGACCCTTCCCCTGGTGAGTTCTATTTTAAATGATTCATGAATTGACTCAACAAATGGTTACTCAACAACTACTCTTCACATGATCGTTCATCTTACAACTTGGGTTCCACCAATAAATGAGACTTGCCCTCTACAGATAATAAGTAAGCTGAATAAGGGCTATATAACATATAGTAAGTCAGATGCTTACTGACTTACTGCTAAGGAGAAAAATACAGCAGACAGGAGGTAGGGATTATGGGGGTTGGAGTGTGGGGTACAGGTTGCAATTTTAGATAGAGTAGCTAAAGAAGAGCTTACTGCAAAGGAGTTGTTTAGTAAAGACCTGGAGGAGGTGATTGAGTAAGCATGCAGTATGAGTGAGGCCTTTTTCAGACAGGAGATTCTTCTGTGCTTGAGCTTTGAGGCAGAACTGGCCTGACAAATTCAAGGAGCAGCAAGGAGGCCAGAGTGCGGGAGTGACATGAGTGAGAGGTGGCATAGCAAGACGAGGTCAGGGGCAGTAAGACGCCTGTAAGCACATTGTCATGGATTCTGAGTGATGTAGAGCCCTCAGAGGGCTTTGAGTCCAGAAGTGAGGTGATCTGACAGCTATCTTCATGGGCTCCCCAAAGCTGCTGTTGTCATTAGACTGAAGCAGGGGCAAGGTTGGAAGCAAGGAATCCAATTAGGAGGATGTTGAAATTATCCAGGCAAGAAGTGATGCTGGCTTGGGTCAGCGTGGTAATAGTTGAGCTGGTAAAAAGCTACCAGGTTCTGTAAATATTTAGAAGGTAGAGCTAGGAGGATATACTGACAAATTATATGTGGGACATGAAAAAAGACGAGCCAAGAGTCATGCCATTATTTTTGGCCTGACAACTTTAAAATGTTGTCTTTAACTGCAGTAGAGAAGATTATAAGAACAAGACAAGATGCTCCTCTTTAACTCCTTATTTTCTCGTGTTTTTGTCACCAGAATGCAATTATTTCACTTTGCTTGCATTGGCCCCATATCAGTCCTGCCAGCCTTTTTCTTTCATTGCAGGTTATTCCTCCCTGAAGGCCATGAGACCTCATCCTGGGCGCCCTTTCTTCCACACCCAGCCTAGAAGCACTCCTGGGTTGATACCACGGCCTCCAGCTGCCCAGCCAGTGCATGGCCGGACAGACTGGGCTTCCAAGTACCCATCTCGGCGATGACTATCTGCCTTGGTGATGGATCTCTTCATAGGGAGAAGCAGGACACTTTTTCTCAGCTGACTAATGTTCTACCTGCAAGACATGCAGAGGGCATAAAAGCAAATCAACACTTTATAGTTATTCTGAACTAAGACATGTCAATATTTTAAAGTTTTTTTTTTTAATATTGATTTGAATGCAGTACGCTTTTTTGTATAAAATTATTTTATTCCAAAACTGGGTCCCATTATTTTCTTAAACAACAGCATTTTGTATATATGAATTATGTTTTAGCATTTTATACAGTCAACTTTGTAATGAACTTTTTAAAGATTAATTGATTTTCCTTTCGTGTTCCAGATAGTATTTTATACAGATTTTGAAAAAATGTAATAATATTAATGCAGTATTGCAACAGGGGTGCAATTTAAGGCTATATGATAGAGGCTCAGTGTGTGCAGTTATTTATGAAGTGGTTAAATTTTAAGTATGGCTCACTAGGTACTTCAGGCTTTCTTGGACTGTTGTTAGAAAACTGATCCTCTGCTTTTCTTAATAAGTCATTGGTTTGGTTTTTGGGTACCACTCTGCTGCTGTTCTAAAAGAACTATTAGATAATTGGCTTTGTTTTATTTTTGTTCCCCAGATGAAAGAAGACTAAGTAAATACATTTTTTAAAATGTTCCCAACACCCTTTAATGTGTTTGCAGATATCAAATGAAACCAGGCTTAATCATACTATGCCATTATATTCTCATTTATTCTATTTTTGAAATTGAATTGTTTGTGTACCAATAAAAGGAGAGCTTTCTGCATCAAAAGGCTCTCAACATAAAGGTTAATACAGTCAATCAAACTTACATTCCTGCCAAGATGCATGGCCGAAAAACTAAGTATCAAAGCAGCAGAAGGTTTTCGAAGATAGTAACTGAGATGGAATTTTGCGCCTGGCTCTGTTCTCCAGATCTGGCTAGGAGCAGTCAATGACTAATCTTCTGTCCTAGCCAAATTCTCAGGACAATTTGGGGAGCAGAAAGAGTTATGGCAGAGGTTCCACTCATCTGCAAAGTCACAGTCACATGCCACATTTGATCTCCTAACCCTGGTGTAGTTTCTTTCAAGAGTGAGAACTCTGTGTTGGGCAGAGGCTGTGTTCCATTGAGAGGAATGTTTACAGCAATTTTGAAAATGATGAAGCCAGTTTGGAGACAGAAAAAGACAAAAGGTTCATCTCTATATGGTACATTTGCCTCACTCATGGTTACCTTAAAGACAAGAGGGAGGGTCACCATCAGTGAATGCAATGCAATCAGTGAATGCAATGCAAAGTATGACAAGAGTGTATTGACTCATATTCTCTTAGGGCTCAAACTACTCTCTGTTGGTTCTGGGTTCCAGGATAATGGTAGGTTGAACCATATGTAAGTGATCATTTTTATAGGTTAAAATGATAGGTGAAATGAATATAGACACTTCCATATGGTTCAACCGAATGAGTTGGTAAATAATTGCTTTGGTGTATTAATAATATGTTGCATTCTGAACGAATTATCATAGCTTCCAAAGGGCCCTAACCTAAAATCAGAGAGTAATTTATGCTTTGGAGAATCTGACTCAAAAACATACTTGACCAAGCACCATGATCCCTAGGGGCATGAGAAAAGCACATAATGGTTGTGGGTGTGATAGGTGATCTTTTCCTGCTAACAAGCTGGCAGCAAAGCTTCAGAAAATATACATGCAAGCACAACTTGAAGCTGAATTCATTTCTGTATTATATTCTCAACTCATTATCTAAAGCATCAGAAAATGTGTTTTCAGAGATGAGTCCTTTACTATAAGGTTAAAATTTATTTTCATTTTCTGTATTATATATGAAGAGTAAATTAATCTGAAACCTCGCCCAGCTTGCTGGAAAGCAGGTTTTAAATTGTAAATATTCCTTAGAGGAGCAAATGGATTGTTCAATACCATAGTCTTGGTAATCTAGCTTATATAAGGTCATTAATTTTTTTAATTGAAAAACCTAGTTACTTAATTATTTCACATTATAAAATTGTTTTTGTAACACTTTTGTAGGGCCCAAATTCAGAGAATACTTCACTTTCTTCCTTTTATGCTTTCCTTTGTTTACCAGCAGACAACTTCCTGGGGAAACCAAATCATATTCATAAAAAAGTCAAGTAGCTGATGTGCAGTTGAGAAAACTAGAGGACTGAAAAAACAAATTCTAACTAGCAAATGCTATGAAGGACTCTTCCTCCCCCTCTCTGAAATGGGTAAAGGACTAATTGTGTATACAAGCTATGCACTATAGAAGGGAATATTAACCATTTCTTTTGTCTCTTTCTGTTTTTGTTCTGACTGAGATTCTGTTACATGAAAATAAAATGCTACTTGTTAGCTATATTTTTTGTTATCATAGAATTATAAAATATAAGACCAACAGAAATGATATATATACCTGTAACTGTACCTATCAGGACCATACCTCATTTACAATCAGAAAGCTTACTGGGATGTCAGGAAATGATACAGGATTGGTGCTCATTTCATGCTGAAATGAGATAAAAGTTCAGTGATGAAGGTGTGCTGTGGGGGTACCAATGTGCCCCACATAGAGCGAGCAGAGCAGGGAAAACTGCATTTGCATAAAACTACTCTTGACATGGTTGTTCATCTTACAATAAAATTTCATTCATTACCAAGCCCTCAACCCAGCTCATGTATGATAGGTTTTATGTAGGAAGAAACTTGATTTTCAAATAATTTTTAAAGTATGTCTCTTACCTAAAGGACTATATACATCTAATAAAATAACACTGTGTCATTTTCTGGAGTTATCAAAAATTGTATACAATCAAGACAGCACAAAATAAGAATTATTTTGTTTTTAAGTGCAACTACACGTACTTTTGGAGTTAATGGGCACTGTGCTTTCTCATGAAGTAGCATTTCCCTACCATCAAGCCATTGTTTTGTGCCATTCAAAAGAGGAAAAAAAGGAATTTAGGCTGTACATTTCAGTTCAGTGTATGACCAAAAGCAATATGTTTATAAGAAGATGTTTGACATACTCATTATTTTATATCATTTAAAGCATACTGTAGCAATTTGTTTGTTTAATATATGTAGCTAATTTTTAGAATTATTTTTACTATTTCCAACCAAATGTACTGTACTTTTATATAATTTATTGTGAGGACGTTCTCATGGAAACCATTAGGAAGACAGACTGGAGGTAAATATCACATGAATCTGTATTACCAGTTTCTCATAGACACTGTGCTAATGTGAATTTTTAATGACCTGAATCAAGTCTTCTGATCTCAGATTTCTCAGTACAGATAGAAATTAGTCACCTGATTCGATTACAATGGAGTAACTGACAGTATATTTATTTATAAAGCAAATTTTCATAACGGAAGATAGGAAGACAGAAAACCACTTAAGCAAGACCCTTCTGAAATAAAAATGTTGCTTTTTAAATAATTTGTCCCGAGGTGTTTAAAAATGTCAACCTTATGTAAGGAAAAATTCCCTGCTCCAAATAAAGTTGAAGTTTAAGAAAAACTGATTTGAGTGTTCTGTTTTTGTTTTCATGTTCTTCCATTAGTATTTTCTAATTTTTGTCCTTTTTTAGTTCATTTGGAACTTTGATGTTTTATAACTTCTGAATGCTTAGTATTGTGTTATCGCTATGAAATTAGAAGCATACACTTAAGAAGCAGAATGAAGAGTTATCCTGCAATATGGAGGTTTTTTAAAATTTAGCTTTTAGAAAGCTAGGTGCCTGGGAGTGGTGGTTCATACCTCTAATCTCAGCGCTTAGGGAGGCAGAAGAGGGAGGATCCCTGGAATCTAGGAGTTTGAGATCAGCCTGGGCAACATGGCAAGACCCGTCTCTGCCAAAATTACAAGATTTAGCCAGGTGTGGTGGAGCGCACCTGTGGTCCCTGTTACTTGGGGATCTGAGTCAGGGGAATTGCTTGAGCCCGGGAGACAGAGGTTACAGTCATCCCAGATCACCCCTCTGCACCCCAGCCTGGGAAAAAGAGCAAGGCCCTGTGTCAAAAAAAAAAAGCAGGTGGAAACAGTTTCTTGTTCCTGATTTCATCATTTTGACTTGCTTTGTATGTCTTTAGCTTTTCATAGCACATTCTCATATACAACATAAACCTTCAAAAGAAGTTCATAACTTCATGAGAATGTCATAGTTCGTAACTTCATAAAGAATGTCACAGGAAATTAATTTTCTAAACATTCTTTGACTCCTTGACAGGATTTTGTAGAAACATGACCTACCACGTGAACTTGCATTGGTGAATCCCTAAATGTGCCTCTCGCCATCAGAACACGGTGACTTTACTGTGTAATCATGGGCATTTGTCTAACTTTTTGGCATCACATTGGGTTCATGCTGCCCCTTCAGAAACCCTGAAGAAGCCATTTCAAGCTCTCAACCATCTTTCCTTATAAGAAAACCCACTTGTTAGAGTAGACTCTGACACTATCGCTTATAGCTAAGGCTGAATTGAAGACAAATGTGTTCCTCTTCTGGGAGTATACAAAGCTCTTAAACTGAGATTTGAAGCTCTTGATCTTTGTGCATGCAATTTTACCCACTACTGAGCGGATGAGTGAATGGTTGAGGCTAAGAAGACTTCTCAGGGCCTCGGAAAATGTATCACATAGGTAGGTAGGTAGAATAGATAGATAAAATGAATAAGACTGTCTCAGAATGAGGACAACTCTACGGGTCTTCGAGAACAAGCAGGTTGATGATGTCAGGGGCTTCAAAGGAATAAACTGGCTTTGGGGTACCTGTCATAAAATGCCAGAACCATTACAACAGGAGTTTTCATTTCTCCCCAAGCCTGTGTAATAATAGAGTCACGCTGCTACCTTATTTACACTTTCAGGCGAACAAGGCTGAGTGTTGCCAGAAAAAGGTGTCCTTATCCAGACCCTAAGAGAGGGTTCTTGGATCTCACACAGGAAGGAATGTAAGGTGAGTCACAGAGTGCCATGAAAAGCAATAGTTTATTGACAGCTACTCAGTTACAGAGTAGAGCGTCCTCAGAATGCAAGAGGAGGAATGCCTCCTCTTTGTTTTTTCTCCAATAGGGTTCTTATCTATCTAAAAGGTAAGCTAAGCAATGTCTATGTACTAACAGCATGAAAAATATTAGTACTTGGTTAATTTAAAGAAAGTTATCCTTGGCATTTTCATGCGTAAGTATGTGAAAGTATGACTATAATTATCTTAAAGGCATATAGCATTATGCAATATTGGAACACCTGGACATTCTCCTTTCATAGGAATTTTTCCTTGCAGGTATTATTAAGCAATAAAAGAAGACCCTGTCTCCACAAGACAAACAAGAACAAATTCTCACAAAAGACTATAAGACCCACAACCTTCCACAAAGGCCAATGCAGTCTTATAGAAAAAAATGCTGGTACTATCCTTGTTATTCATCTTTGTAGCAAAGGAAAATTATTTCAAAACAATTATGCCATCGTCATTTTTGTCCTTTAGAAATCTTTGTTTCATTTTACCTCCCTGAACACACACATAATTTACAATGGCATGCGTATTCCTATTGCAAAACTCTATTTCCAAATAAATCTCTTTTAGAGAGCCTGTATCTGTTTGTTATTTAGGAGTCTTGCTCTGTTGCCCAGCTTGGAGTGCAGTGGCACGATCATGGCTCACTGCAACCTCCTCCTTCCAGGTTCAAGTGGTTCTCCCACCTCAGACTCCTGATTAGCTGGGACTACAGGCGCGCGCCACCACACCAGGCTGATTTTGTATTTTTAGTAGAAAAGGGGTTTCACCAGTTGTGAGGCTGACCTCAAACTCTTGACCTTAGGAGATCCGCCCGCCTCAGCCTCTCAAAGTGTTGGGATTACAGGCATGAGCCACCGCGCCCGGCCCTCATTGGCTTTTTCAACTAGTAGGCATTTCCAGCTGGATGGCTCATAGCAACAAAAGACAAATTCAACCCATTTTCCACAAAGTTTGTCTTCCTCTTCCACTCTTTATGGAGCTAGAAACCAAAGCATTGCCCATTCTTTCATTCATTCAACAAATGTTCTCTGAATACCTACTGTATACTAAGCCGGATGTACAAAAGGAAAACAAAAAAAAAACAAAAATCCTTGATCTCATGGAATTTACATTCTAGGAATCTACAGAGAAATAAATAAAAAATATTGTGTTAGATGACAATAAATGTTATAAAAAATAGACAAGAAGTGTGTGTGCTAAAATATATTGTGTTAAATGACAACAAATGTTATAAAAAACAGACGTGTGTCTGTGTGTGTGTGTGTGTGTGTGTGTGTGTGTGTGTGTTGGGCAGAGCATCATTCTAGACTTTTCTCCCTCTTCCCTTCAACCTGATTTGTAAAGCCTTTACCACCTACCTCCTTAGTATTTCACCTTTTCTTACCCGTATTATTCAAACTCATGCTCCTACTTTAATTTACACAAACACAACAGGTTTCTTTCTCTGCCCCTACTGCCCCAATTCATTCGCCACACTTTGGTCAGAGAAACCTACTTAAAATAAAATCTGACCATGTTAGCGGCTGCAGTTGTTTAGCACTACAGGCTTCTCAAGCAAGAGTCTCTCTAGCATCCCGTGGGTGAAGAAAATAACATTTTTAGCCTGAGAAACAGCAGAAGCTGCCTCTAAAAATAAAATGTATTTTCGAAGGCATATATTTCAAACTTTATTTTTTATTTTTTTTAGAGATGGGGTTTCCCCATGTGACCCGGGCTGGTCTCCCTTTTTTTTTTTAAAGAGAGAAAAAAAGAAAAAGAAAGAAAGAAAATGAAGAGAGAAAGAAAGAAAAAAAGAATAGAAAAAGAATGAAAGAGAGAAAGAAAGAGGAAGAGAAAGAGGGAGAGAGAACGGGAGTCTAGCTTTATTGCCCAGGCTAGAATACAGTCTAAAAATGGGTATTGAAAACCTATTTTATGCCAACAATTGTGCTTAACCATGGAGACAGGAAGGAAAACAACAAACAAGCAGCTGACCAGTATTTCATTTAAACCTGTGAAATGCTATGCAATTGCTGAGGAGTGATTTACTTCCAATTATGTAGTCACTTTTAGAGTAGGTGTGATGTGGTACTGATAAGAATGTATGTTTTGTGTATTTGGGGTGGAGAGTTCTATAAATGTTTATTAAGTTTACTTGTTCCGGGTCTGAGTTCAAGTTCCTTTGCTTGTGAAGCTTAGTTTGGCTGGATATGAAATTCTGGGCTGGAAGTTCTGTTCTTTAAGGATGTTGAAGATCGTCCCCCACTCTCTTCTGGCTTGTAGGGTTCCTGCTGAGAGATCTGCTGTGAGTCTGATAGGCTTCCCTTTGTGGGTAACCTGACCTTTCTCTCTGGCTGCCCTTAGCATTTTCTCCTTCATTTCAATCCTGGTGAATCTGATGATTATGTGCCTTGGGGTTGCTCTTCTTGAGGAATATCTTTGTGATGTTCTCTGTATTACCTGGAGTTGAATATTATCCTGCCTAGCTAGGATGGGAAAGTTTTCCTGAACAATATCCTGAAAAGTATTTTCCAGCTTGGATTCATTCTCTTCATCACATTCAGGTACACCTATCAAACATAGATTAGGTCTTTTCACATAGTCCCATATTTCTTGGAGACTTTGCTCATTCCCTTTTATCCTTTTTTCTCTAAACTTGTCTTCTCATTTTATTTCATTGAGTTGGTCTTCGACCTCTGATATCCTTTCTTCTGCTTGATCAATTCGACTGTTAAAACTTGTGCATGCTTCACGAAGTTCTCGTGTTGTGTTTTTCAGCTCCATTAATTCACTTATATCCTCTCTAAATTGTCTATTCTCATTAACATTTCATTCAATCTTTTTTCAAGTTTCTTAGTCTCTTTGCATTGGGTTAGAACACACTCTTTTAGCTCACAGAAGTTTCTTATTATCCACCTTCTGAAGCCTGATTCTGACAATTCATCACACTCATTCTCCATTAGGCCTTGTTCCCTTGCTAATGAGGAGCTAAGATCCCCTGAAGGAGGAGAGGCATTCTGATTTTGGATGTTTTCAGCCTTTTTGATGTTTTCAGCCTCTTTGCGCTGGTTTCTTCCCATCTTTGTGGATTTATCCACCTGTCATCTTTGTAATTGCTGACTTTCAGATTGGATCTCTGAGTGGAAGTCCAGTTTGTTGGTGATGATGTTATTTCTGTTTCTTTGTTTTCCTTCAGCGGGACACCCCTCCCTCACAGAGCTGGACCTTCCCAGGTTCAGCTGTGCTTGCTGTGAAACTCTCAACCGTCAGCATTTCCAATTGCTGTTTTTTTGTGGGGGTGGGACCAGCCGAACCTGATCACCTGGCTTCCGGTCCCGGAGCCCCCTTTTGTTCATTTCCTAATTGAACGGTTGATTCTCTCCCAGTTGCCCCAGCCGCCCACCGAAAAGATGCAGGGCTCTATGCAATTTTCCGTGCGGTGACCAAGCCGGCTGAAACAGCCACACTGAGCTTCATGGCACTTCTCTGCCTGGGAATCTCCCGGTCTGGCGCCCGGCTTTAGT